TAACATTACAACTTAGGGATATAATATTAGGGAGACTTCCCTACATAGGAATCAAACATATCACATGTGTTTTCCCTGAACAGGTGTACTATGTTATTTTTCTCTAAATAAGAGTAAAGTAATGACATCCTGAAACCATACTGCCATAGTATAGGGATATGGTTTTAGGAATGACAGTATTCACCCTATTAGGGAGGAAACCTTGGTATCCTGTTTGGGAAAACACACACATCTTTTACTCCTAATTAGGGTAAATTCTGATAATATTATAGCATGGATGGATAACTTCCTATTTAGCAAAATCTTCTTAAATTGGCTAAATTACAGAGGAATTTAATTTAAAGATGTCTTAATAGGAGAAAAACAGATGATTTCCCTAAGTATTAGTACTATGTTTTCCCCCTAAATAGGAGTAAGTATTGTCATGCTGAAAGGTACTGTCAAATTATGTTAATACTTCCACATTAATGCCATAACATGACAGTATAATTCAAGATGACAATACTTTACTCTTCAACAACAACAACATCCAAGCCTTAGTCCCAAAAGAGTTTGGGGTTGGCTAACATGAATCGACATACGAAACGGAGTTAAGCACTGTACTCTTATTTAGAGAGAAAAACATTGTACTCCTATTTAGAAAAAGACCTTGTTTGTACTCCTGATTGGGGAAATTTCCCTTTAATTGGGAGTCAATAAAGCAACCCACTAACTATAAGCAACTAGCACATTCATCCAAGTATACATTCTGAAGATCATCATTTTACCATGTCACAATCAATAAAAGACTGAAAAGGTAAATGATTATCACCAACACTGTACAAAGACTTCATACTAATTACTAAGGTAAGGTAATCCAAACTTCCCTCTATGACAGCATTCCCTTTATCCTTCCCATGGAAAAGGTCTGGCAGAGCAGGTCCAATAAAAAGCAGGGGTAGAAAGAACTGCTTTATTACCTTTTATTTTTTGAGTTAATTTAAAAACTTTAATAGAATACTTTCAGTTTGGTAGACTAAAAAACTGCCAAATCAGGGTTCAGAAAAGAATGCTTTAAGGATACTATGGGCGTTTAATTACAATTTTACTTCACATATGCTCACCGTCGTTTGAATGATTCAAAAGGATGATATACAGCCTTCAAAGCATCCAACATAACTTGAAGGTCTGTTTCTGAGAATAGGTGTTGGATATTCCTCGCAAAACTCCCTGTTGTATTGTGAAGCTCAATTAGGGCATCCAAATGCTTTGTCTGAACCTTGACACCTTTCGACAAATCTCCAGTTGAGATGTCTACGATACCTGCAAATTTGAGAAATCTGAGCAAAGATTTAAGATGCTCTGCAGATATCGTTCAAGTACGATGTACTATGGAAGATAAACTAGATATGACAGATATTTATCTCTCTTTTAATAAGGTCGTCGTATGTACATAAGTTTTTGTTTAAAACCCCATACTTCTTTTAGACACCCATACGGGCATGACCAAATTTATTTGCATAGAAAAGTGATTCATGTAAACCATCAATCATGAATTCAAGATATATAATCACATAAACAATAGAAAAATACAAACATTTCCTTACAAAGTGACAGTCCCATGCAAATGAAGTTTTTATTTAAAACCCCATACTTCTTTTAGACAGCCATACTGGCATAACCAAATTTATTTGCAAATATTAAATTGATTCATATAAACCATCAATCATGAATTCAAGATATATAATCACATACACAATAGAAAAATACAGACATTTCCTTACAAAGTGACAGCCCCATGCAAATGATTTATGAAACCCCCTTGTCTCTTTTTCAGTGATACTTTCTCGTTTGGGTTATTCTAATATGGTAAACACACTGAAACTGTCATAATGAAATTTTCTCTCAAAGTTTCACACCATCCAAATTCCTAAGTAATGACTGAACACAAGTAAATATTTACTGAGCAACTTTTTGTTACTTGAAATCTCAGTTTCACCAAACTTTTTTTCACAATTTCACGCCATCCGAAGTTTTTGACATGGTACATGCTAAAAAGTATTCAACATATGATAGAAAAGGCGAGGCTGCCGCACAATTGACACATACATCAATAGGAAAGAAGATTACGGACAACTCCGAAAGAGTACCATAAATAACCTTTGGCAAATGTTCTAGTCTCAGGGACAGCCTCCCCAGCAGCTAGATTGATAGATGATACAAAACTTGCACCAATGGTTGACATCGTTTCAATTAGTAGATTTGGAACAAGAGTTCTATATTCTTCTGGAAAAGCAAGCATGCACCTGCAGAAGAGGGTAAAAAAAGATTTGATTTACTCTAACATAAAATTGCAACCTTCAACATAACTGTATTAAAAACAATGAATTTGAAATATATCCACACTTGGCACACACAAATCTGAACGTTTGCTAAAAAGAAAATTGAATCATACCATTTCCATTCCTGTTCAAGATATAGCAACAATTCATCATAGAAACTGGGCAGCCAACGTGAAAAGGTAGTAGTTGACGAATTCAATTGTAGATTATGAGCACGTGATGTCCTTTCTATCTCAATCTTTTCATTTGAAACCTTATTTGCCTGTTGCGTTAACTCAAAATCCTCCCAAAGTTGTTTTATAGGCTTGAGGTGGACCTTTGAGTATTGCAATTCTAATGACTTGAATCTCCCAATTCTTTTGAGAATTCCCCTCATTTCTTGAGCAACATCAACCTAGGAAAAAAAACTTACATTCAAAATTCCTTTTTTAAGTGTCTATAGAGATACAAGCATTCAAATGGATAGGGAGTGAAAATATTATACTAGAAGGAAGAGGGAAAATGCGATATCATACTAACCTTCCTATTGCTTAAGGCATCTATCAAGCGAGGTTGCACCATCGAGTCCAGCCTATCCTCTAAGACTTCAAGCTGCTTCCTTATATTAGCAAATTCTGCAACCTGAAATTTTGCAACTATTGCTACAGCATCTGGAGCCCAATAAAACATGACTTAAGACAAAGAAAGACAGCCAGTTAAAGGTGTACCTCACCAACGGCAGACAAGCAGTGCCTCATGTTTGCCAAAGTTTCTGCAGCACGAGGAAGATCACCACTTGAGAATACATCCTCCACAGTTGAGCTTAGTTGAGCCAAACCGGCTGCATCCTGTCCATTAGCAGATGTAGTATTTACAATTTCGTAAGAGCAACTTCATGAAGAAGTCACATAACAGGGTGTAAGATTTAGAACCAGACCGTACACGGTACTATTTAAGCACTCAATTATACAAAAAACATGTAAAGAAGACTAAATGCAGAGTGTGGCACCTGCAATGTCTCATAGGCAGCTTCCATTCTTCGCTTGACAGTATCGACTTTTGCAAGTGTAGCTATTGACTCTGCAGATGATCCCTCTGCCTATGATAGGAATACAGTATGAAGAAGAGTAACCATATGCTCTACATTAGCTACAACGTGTAAAGACTATTGATGCAGCAGGTGAAATTAGGAAACAAATGTCAAATGCAAAGTGCAAAACATGCATACGATGATTATCATAAGTATATTATATATGCACTACAATATTGGACATGTTACACAGATGCACCCAATTGATGGCTACTTATTTCCAAAATATTACTTTCGTATTGATTTTTTAGCACACCACATCCGAAGCTTTTGTTTGAAACTGAAAATGATTCCAGTAGTATAAACTAGAAACAAGGAAGAGTAAACTACCTTTTTGAGTTTCTGGATGATAGAAGCGACTGAGGAGCGGAGGGAGAGGGCGTCATCGCGGAGGCGGATAACGTCCCGTGTGGCACGAGGGACGCGGTGAAAAGAAGAGGCGCTGAGCTCCTCAAGTGCGACGGCGATCTCCTCAGAGACCATCTGGAGCTTCATTTCCAGATCCACCAGGTGCTTGTCCAGCGGGTCCTGCGGGTGCCGCGACTGACACGCATCGTTTATCCATTGCTTGGGGTCGAATCTCTCGTCAGAGAAGGAGCTCAGATCCACCATCATCTTTGCCGCCGGATCGACAACAGCATTGGCCAGTCAACTCTTCAGTGTCTTCGTCTCTTCAATCACAGTGTCTTCTGATGGCCGTTAAACAGAGCAGTTGCTTTGCGGGTGTGTACCCAGTGATAACCGATGAACGACCCTTTGTTGAACTTTCTTGCTCCGGAGTCCGACCCATACAGTAAATCTTTCTATTCATTTTGTGTGCCAAAAATACTCGTACTTCGTATTTAACAAAGTTTTCAAAAAAAAAATGATTTGCATATTCAATTGAAATTGAGCTTTTGTAACTATGTATTTTAGTTTAACTTAGCCGGATCTGGACCAAAAAAATTCAGCAAATATGAATATGAAATTTATAGTTCCGGTCCGTACCCGACCCGATAGTAGACTTAATTATCTCCTTGTCAAATCACTGCATGGAATCTCAGGTGTTTACGGTAGGAAAAATTAATGATGATGAATGTTATCAAACAGGCTCTTAGTGTGGTGATAACATTCATGATGAGCTAAACGAGATTGAATGATCAATCACGTTCTTCATCAAGTTGAGTATCACTCTTTTAATTACACACTTACACAACAAAAATGCAATACAAGATCAAACAATAAAATGATGAAACTATAAATTGGTAGCTTTGATAACGGGTTTTGGAAGAATTACTAGAAATGGGTAGCTTTGTCACCATGTTAATGTGATTTTGTTTGGGTTTTGAAAACGGGTCCCAATTAGGCATGGACCCGGTCTAGCGGTCTAGTCCGAAGTCAGGTCCGACACTGTTTGGGACCGGACCGGATTAATTTAGAGCGATTTTGGGCCTGGGATCGTACCCGTCCAGTGTCCGCCCTAAAGCGGTTCATGATCTCAGTTTACATTTTTGGGACTGAACCATGCGATTCCGGTCCAGCCCCGAATGTTTTTTTATTCAATTCGACCATAAAAGTAAAAAAAAATTAACGGGAAACGGGTCTCGAGACAACGAGACCGATCCTGACTCGAAAAAAACGGTTCCGACTCGGATCCAAGCAAGTTTTTTTGAACCTGGGTCTATCCTGGTCCCAACTTAACAACTCATAACGCATCACAAATGGACTTGCATAAGTTCTCCCTTTCTACTCGTCCGTCTCTTTTCCTAGTCATCTTTTTGTCTTTAGTCCACCAATGGTAACTTGGAATCTTTGAATCAACCACCGAGAAAACATTCCTTTCTTTCTTCTCTTATGTACACGAAGTATAAAGTTGGAGCAATAATAATAAATCCTTCCTTAAAGGCCTTATATCAATTCCATTAATTTTTTCCCTCTTTGGCTTTTAGAATGAGTACTGAAGAGCTAATGAGCTATTGACCATCACCCACTTCGAGCTCAAGTTCCCATGTAAGCATATTTATAGCTTTAATTTTACGAAACCCAGTTGTTGAGGTTTTCTATTTCAGCACCTTATCTGTGTATCCCTTTTTAACTATGTTTTCTTCTTCTTTGAAATAGTTGAGCTTAGAAAACCAATCTCATGTTCATTTGAGTTGCTTAACAGAACAGATAATCACGCTGCCTTCAAGGTATGCTCTCTGTATGGAATTGGTTTTTATTATGATGTTGAGGTGGTGACACTACTCTTGTAATATGCACATTTGCATTTCAGTTTTGGTAAAATGTTGTGCTTATGAGTTTTAATTATAGGTTAAGACAACTAATCCAAGGAAGTATACTGTAAGGCCAAACTATGGCATCGTCCTACCTAGATCGCGGTGTAATGTTACAGGTGAGTTCTAGTAAAGGAAGTTAATTAGCTGAAATGGTTGAATCTAGTGAAATATCTGAAGGAGCTTGATGCTATGGTAATTCTGTTTCAGCCAAATGAGCAGAATAAGCCGACTATGGTTACCAAATAAAGCACTAATCGTTTTATGTACAGTTTTTTGGGTTTTGCCTTTGGTTGATTTTGTTAATCAATGGTTTTAGTTACAATGCAAGCTCAAAGTGAGGCACCGCTCGATATGCAAAGCAAAGACAAATTTCTTGTACAGTGTGTGATTACTCACCCTGGTGCGGCACCTAAAGATATCTGCCAAGAGATGGTAAAAATCTCTTTGCAAATGTAGACTTTCTTTGGTAGCCATATCTGGTTTATTCTGTTTATTAGCAGAATAAGCAGTTTGTGGCCTACTTTTTATGGCTGAAGTAGATGTCACCAAACGATTTTCCATTCTGAAACTTGAGCAGATCCAGCCATTTCGGCCAAACTAGCTACCCTTGCCAAACGGTGTGACAAGATTTGCACTCAGGGGCAGAGGGGGGCTAGGCTTTTTTTTGTAATATATAAGAAGTACTAAAAAAACATGTCGCTCCTGAACTTCCATTTTGTCTACGCCCTTGTTTGCACTCTTATAAACATGTCGGACTTGTGTGGAATTCTCGGTTTGTATTTTCTGTGCAGTTTAATAAGGAGGTGGGAAAGTATGTACAAGAATGCAAATTGAAAGTTGTGTATGTTACGCCACAAAGACCACCATCCCCAGTCCCAGAAGAACCTGAAGAAGTGAATTCACCACCTATCACTTCTAAACCGGAAAAGATGACTCATAACGAGTACTCTGCAGTGAGTTTTCCATTCTGGTTCTTTATGGTGTGATGCACCATTAAATTAAGCTGCATCTTGTTTTATTGAGATATACTGTTCGGAATTTGTAGTAACTATATGGTTTGATAGATTATGGTGAAACATATATCTGAATTAAGGCACACTTTCATGCTTTATCATATCAATCATTACCTGTATTGTTGTCTTATTCGCGAACACACACTTAAAAATCAGAAATGATTATGTTTATGTGTTTTAAGACTACCCTTGTCTCAAGACACCTTTTTAACTGCCTTTTTTATTATCTTGATTGCTTTCTTTCATTTTGTATGAAATTTGAATTCAGCCTAGGGTTCAAATTTTGAAATTAGTGGAAGAGCGGGATACTATTATTCAAAAAAATGGCAAACTGCGACGAGAGTTGGTACGTTACGTGCAGTTGCTTTTCCTTTTTTCATTGATCTGTTTACCTTCTAAAGCACGCGCAAATAGTTGCAAGATTTCTGTGTAATACTCTTCTGGGAAAAGGTAGTACTTTTGAACATATATTGAAGTATTAATTTGTTTGAAGAGTAATGTGTATTCCTGGTAAAATATCAACAGTCATGGAGCGTTTCTATTGATAGAGTTTTCACATGTGCCCATTGAAATAATTCTGGCTTTTCCATTCTGTTTTTGCTCTACTCTATTCATAAACCTATTTGTTCCGTTCACAGGCAATATGCAAAATTTGCACGGATTCACAAAAAAAAAACATTCACAAACATAGGTGAGTATAAAGTGGGTATAAGGGTGGGTACATCAAGCATTGTTGTAAAAAGCCTTGTGGAATTTCATGCATCTTTGTGGCACTCGTGTTGAACATTATTGCAGGTGTGCTAGCTATCTTAGGCTCTCTTTGGTAGCTTGGTTCGGCTTATTCTGCTTAGCAGGATAAACAAGATAGTTGCTTTTTAGTGTTTACTTATTCGGCTTAAATGAAACTTACCAAATTCTTTTCTGTCCAAAATATTAGTAGATTCAGTCAATTAAGTCTTATCAACAGGCTTTGGAGGCATGCCCCTTGCCCCCTCCGGGTCGAAAGTGCATCTATTTTACAACTAACAGTTTGATACAAGATACTCCGTATTTCTTATAGTTTTGTACGTGCAAGCCTCCTATTTTTAGTATATCGCTATGTTCTCATTATTTATAGATATTGAAGTATAATGTGCCCCCTTGAGCATGATTTCTGTTATGCGCCACTGGCTTAAAAACTTAACATTACAGTAGACGGATTAAGATGATTGATGAGATTATTTTCTAATGGAATTATGCAGGAATCTTTGAAGCGAAGAGATCCACAAAAGCATGCAACGGTTCCCATTCTGTATGCTTTTCTGGTAGGTTTGATTGGCATTCTAATGGGGTGCTGTTCTTCTTAAGAAAGTACTTGTCAAGTCAAAGGGGGCTGGTTTTGATTTGACGTGAAATTTTGGTTTTGACCCTTCCCTAGCAATATGTACATCTTGAGACTGGTTGCATCGTAACCTTATGTGTGAAAAATGAAAATTTATACGTATTACTAAAATGGGTGTCTAGCATGAGGATTCAAATCATTCCCCCCCCCCCCATTCACCTGGTGGAAAAGAAAACCAAGAAAAGCAGCTGACCTAGGATAAAAAAAATTACTACGCACGGAGTATAATATTATTACTGTCATTATTTCCCATTTTATTTGTTATTCCATTGCCCAAGGGCGTAGCTAGCCGTGACTCTATATCGCACGGCCGGGGGCATTTTTGTAAATTAAGTGAAATCATAGTTTCGTTAAATGAGCATTAATGTACGTATTGTGAGTATCTAATACGTAGTATATTCTAGTGAGTATTGAGAGTGTAATAATGAACATCATGATATCGGTTTCATATGTTATAATTCAGGGATAATTTGAGTTTGCACCCCATTTTATTGTCCAAATTAGACTTTGCATCCCCTTTTTTAAAAATTTTTGTTTTTGCACCTCAACCCCATATGAAAAGACAAAAATGTCCTCGATCAAGAATATGTTGGAGGCCAACAAAATTGTCAATGGAGGGGCATTTTTATCTTTTGCTATAGGGTTGGGGTGCAAAATAAAAGATTTTTAAAAACGGGGTACAAAGTCCAATTTGGACAATAAAATGGGGTGCAAACTCAAATTATCCCTATAATTCACTTTGCTTTTTTTTTTGTTTTTTAAAATATCAATGATGAACCCGTATGAATCCAATATGTGAATTTAACGTAACATTATACTTTTGAAAGATGCACGGATATGACGTTTTAGAATGAGTATTACAAAAATATCAAATGAATATATATAAATTATGAAATGAGCATAAAAATTTTCAAAAAAATCATTTAGAATCTCTATTATGCTCAACTTATCATTTGTGTACTTCATTTAAATTCTCTAGTATGCTAAAAAAAATATTTGTGTATGCTCATTTGTTTTTTCTAATATGCTCAAATATTCATTTATGTATGTTCAATTCTTTTAATCTTTATGCACATTTATTATTAATATTTAATAGTATACTCATTTTTAACTTTTAAATAAATGGGTGTTCCCAAAAAAAAAGTAAATATGGTGATGGCAGAAATGGTAGACTGTGGAATCACCTTCAAGTCGTCCATTATCAGGTAGCAAGCCCCCTCTTGAACTCGCCTGTGCGGTTCATATCATGACCGGCTGCGGTAGATTGTGCTGCCGTGGGATTGACTGGAGTGACATAACTTATCTTTCTATCCAAGGTATGCCTACAGTTGGGACAAGACAAGTCATTTTCTTGGTGTCGGAGCAGCAGTTGTAGCAGCTATTCACAGGTAGAATGACATTGTCTCATCATCATCGGCCAAGAGGAGCGTTATGTTGTTGCTGGAGGAAGAAAGGGATTAATTGTAATTCATTGTGAAAATATTCGGTTGTGCGGTGAGCATCATACAACCGGTGTACGATATAATTGGTGGGCACGGGTTGGGTTACTTGGGTAGGGTAGGGTAACCTTAATACCTTATAATAAAAGGAATTGCCGGTTCCATTGACCAGGTAGGTTCGGGCAGGGTGTACAAATTCTCCTAGTGGTAGGAATCGAACCTTACATGTCGTGTTTGAAACAAGTCGGTTTGGTTTAAATTTTCAGTATTAGTTACTAGCAGGGGTGGATTTTCGGGGGGGGGGGGGGGACCGCCCCACTTGGACTATCAAAAATTTCTACTATATATATATATATATATAATATTTTAATAAAATTTTCATACTCTACCTAGATTCGCCCCCCTTAACTTTTAGTTTCAAAATTAATATGTAGTCTTACATAATGTAGTACCTACTTGGAAATGTAAAAGAAGGAACATCTAAAATAATTTAAATAACTTAAACAAATAAACAATAGAACAACTCATTGTTTAACACTTAGGGTACTTGTTATATAAAAGTTCCTAGTTTTGTAATATTTAATAGTCTTTATTAGATAACTCATAACTAGTACTCCATTTTGTAAAATATATATCGAACAACATTAAATATCAGACACACTAGTTATACACTTTATTGAAAATGTGAAGTGAAACCAAAATATACTCCTAAATGTTTATTGACATTAAATTACACAGTTCATTTACTTCTTACTTTCTAAAAACAATTTATTGCATATATAATACTCCGTAAACTTTAACTTATTTTAGCATTAATACAACTATAATATGCACCATATCCACATGAATTAGAAATATAATATCATTATAATTAAATATAATAATCTCATACATAATATTGTAATATTAAGAAAACTCATCATGACTCACAAACACCCTCTTTGATAGATAAAAAGTATTGATGGTTGTGTGCCTTTTAAACTCTTTATCTTTAAATAATTGAATAAAATGTTATATATCCTTTTTTATTTTCAAATTAGTTTCCTTTGATTTTTTGTTTCATATGTTATAACGTATAAATACTTGCTTCTAGAGCACTTCAATTATAAAATTGAAGTTATTTTGTCATTATCTAAACTCAAAATGTAGTAGATTGAAACGTTATCGTGCATGTTTCAATGCTTTTTTTTGAATAAAAATTGCCGCAAAGTTCTACACTATATAAAAAAATCATCCCGCTACACTACGAAAAAAATTCGCCCCGCAACACTAGCAAAAAAAATTCATTTTTTACATTAATGAAAATTTTCGCCTCCCTTGATTCAAAATCCTTGATCCGTCCCTGATTACTAGAATCAGAATTTAAAAATCGAATTGGAGAATCAAATCATAAATTGTACTCCGTAAGATTTTATAAATAAATTAAATATTTAAAAAAATTCAGTATTAGATAATAGGAACTCACAATATAACATTAATCAATGAAATCATTACAAGTTTAACTCTAATGATAATGCCTCAAGATAATTAGTGCATTAGATAATAACAAAATAATGTTCTCAACAAATAAATACTAATTATGATGGTAATAAGCAAATAGATCTTTGTCCACAATCAAATTTTTTTAGTAAATAAAGTTTACATACTCAGATCAAAAGGTGTGGTTGCGCAGTTAAAACTAAAAAAACATCCGCTCCAATCTCATGCTGAAGTGCAAGGCCGGCGGCGCGACCACACCTTTTGATCTGAGTATGTAAACTTTATTTACTAAAAAAAATTGATTATGGACAAAGATCTATTTGCTTTATCGTCTACCAAACCTTGTCAATCGTAATCATATAATCAAATTTGGGTCGAAGGGAGTACTTCGTATGTAATGACACCTAAAAGCATTTTTAATGCAAGAATCTCATGGACACATAAACTGAATCATTTATATTTCTTTCTATTTGTTTTCATGTTATACTACTATATAAACATTTTTCTTGACATTGTAATTTTTTTTTATCAAAAACATATAAGGCTCTTTAAATAAGGAGATATTTATTTTTGCTTACTAATATTTGTATGTATATCTCTCGCATGCCACATATTCACATTGTTACATTTGAGATGCTCTAATAATGGAGATAGATAGTATTTGCATAAGTTTATTGAGACTTAGTCAAATGCACATAAGTTTATTAATGTTACTTGTACAATATTTAGTGATGCATACAAGAAAAATAAAATATGGATAAAGCGAAGCTTTTTCAAGAGTGTTGGAGAAGCTATAGATACAATATATATTGAATTGAATAAAAGGAATAATTTACCACACACGTGTGTGTCAGTTGGGTGAGTGGTAAGAAGTTAGAACATTAATCAAGGATCGAAACCGGCAATAGTTATGTGGATGTTACAGTCTCTTTGTGCTGGACTGGACCTCTGATGCGCACGAGTACAAAATCTTCGCCCCGATCCTTGATAGGATTCCAAGGTTTCTTGTTTCCCAATTTCACCCTTCTATAACTTCATTTATTAATCTCTTCCAAATACCTAAAAAGAGATTGATACAAAGCCCCGCTCTACTTTTTAATCCATTAGTCTACTCCACATAAGCAAAACTACCTATGGATATTACTAGTTACTAGAGAAAGAATAATATCGACAAGAAATGATTTACATATATGACAAAAGGGAAACACAAGCACCAAACAAAATATGTCTTGGTAAAACGGGTAAAGCTAGAAAGAAAGCGGAGTAGCTACGAATTCATCCCGTTGTTGCACCATTTAGTCCCACACCGAATAATATAGAAAACTACTGTCCGTCGCTTGTGTATATAAAGAATCAACATATGCTTCCCGAACTCAAGCAGCCATGCGTTGAGCACAAAGCAAACTATTCTTTCGCCTTTTACTAAAGAATACCGTGTGCACGGCGCAATAAATGGCATACTCCCATTTTTGGAATGGTGTCTTCCTCTTGGAAGTTACCATACAAATTAGTAAAAATTTTGCTTCCTTAGTTAGTGTTGCTGAACTTTTGTTATTGAAACTCCAGGTTGTTAAAACATTTAGATCGTTTACGTGTTTCAATCTATTTCTCTTGTAGCGTTTGTTTTCGAAAAAAGCTTTCAAAATACCTAGTATAATTAAACATTTCAATTCCCCCGTAGTGATATTGGGGCTCCATAAAATTCAACATTTCAATGTATTATTCAATTGTACGCAACTTTTTGATTCAGGATGAAGTTACTTTTTTTTATTTAAATTAGCTAAAATGGTTGGTGATGACTATTTTTTGTTTCTTATCATTTCTTAAAAAAAGCCCTTTTAATACGAGTAATTAATAATGTAGGTTGTTAATATTTACAATTTAATAATAATTGCAATACTACGTAATACATCGGTATTGATAACCCTTATAATAACAAGTTTGTTTTAATAGTAATGTTACTTCAATTTTTTTTAACTTTATATACTACATATGAAATATTGGTGTAATTTTTTAACTTTATATACTACGTATGAAATATTGGTGTAAAATGAAAGATCATAGAAAATTATAAACTTTGATATATGTTTTATAAAAATTGAAATACTAATAAAAAGTTACTACCTTCGTCTCATATAAAGGTTCTCTTCCATTATTCATTATTCAATGTTTATTATTCTTAATCTTTTTACTTTATTCCGAAGTATATCTAACTTCAATCATATTTGAGTTTTGTTTGCGACTTTATAAAGCACTTAATGTAGAGCACTTAATGTAGTTTCAGAATGTGCATTTTTATTTACTACAAATATTTAATTACTCACAAGTGGTTAATTATATGCCCAGTCAAACATCCATATTGTGGAAATGTTTAAGTGATATGGAAGAAGTATAACGCTTTTAAAAAAGGGACTTTTTTGGTTTGGGTCTCTCCGCCGACATCCTCTGATTCCTCTCCACTCCAGCAGCCTGCGTGCTTTGTTTTTTCTCTGTTCCAGCCGTGCAACAAAGGGTTGAATGGTGGTAGCAAATCCTCCACCCAAAGGTCATACACCCACTTTGGCACCACTATACATTTTTTTGGGTGGGTTGCACATTTTTGGTCGAAATCTCATAAATGACTTTTTTTACCCATAGTTGCATTAGTGTACGTAAAGGCACATGAGGGTAGGGACGTTTTAAAAAATATAGTTTTAGACGCATTAGATAGTATTAGTAATTAGGATTTTCTATCATTTATAAAACAACAACAGGCTTGCAACTTTCGACGTGATTTTCACTATGAATCATCCAGAAACATTCTCTTTGTACTTTAGTACAAGGACGTCTGCGTACATACGACCTCCCTTACCCCACCGAAGTGAAAGTTCTTACGGCACCGGGGTAATGATGATGATGAGTATTACTCACTCCGTCCCGAATTATAAGATATTTTTCAGTTTACGATGTTAGATCGATGATAAAGCAAACAGATCCGTGTCTGCACTGAAATTAGTTTTAGAAAATAAAATTTACATATTCAGAAACTACATTAAAACCGCTACAAAACCTGCAAAAAATAATTCAAATTTCATAAAATTTTGATATATAAAAGGGAAAACTGTCAAATAGGTCCCCGAACTTTCATAAAAAAGTCAATTAAGTCCTTCTATAGGAGACTCTGTCCGGTCATCACGATTTGGGGCGGTTCCCGTTGGAATTTTTTGATGAAATTTTTTGAGCATCTTATTCATCAAGTCTAGTTTACTCATACCAAAGTTCAGCTAAAAATTTAATCGGGAGCGCACTCAAATTAATTCGAGAACGCAAAAATGCGCAGTTATTTTCAAGAATTAATTTGAATGTGTTCCCGATTGAAATTTTAGCTGAAATTTGATATGAGTAAACTAGACTTGGTGAATAAGATGCTCAAAAAAATTCATCAAAAAATTCCAACGTGAACTGCCCCAAATCTCGACGGCCGCACAGAACCTCCTATAGAAGGACTTAATTGACCTTTTTATGAAAGTTCGAGGACCTATTTGACAGTTTTCCCATTTATAAAATAATAGATTGAGAGTGATTTGTATTGACCAAGTGAATAGTAAATGTATCTTATTGGGACAGAGGGAGTAAGAATCACGAGTTAAATTCACTCTCACGTTATGATCCAATTAATCTAATCAATTAGCATTAGTTCCTAGATGAGTCCTTAAACTCATACTCATACGGAGTACGTCAAAGGAGCTCTTAGGAAGAAATGGTGAAAAGAAGATAAAAATATTCGTATTGTTTAAAGCCCATGCCAAAAATGGCATCATTAATATCAAGTTCCGCATTAATAAAATGACATGTTGAACATCATAGTTGATAGGAAGTTTGGTTAAAAAAACTTAAAACACGATCGTTTTGAAGATTTTTTATATTAAATCAAAGAAATACGTATGACATTGAAATGAAGCATCGAGTCCATTGTATAATA